AAATGTTAAAACATTTGCTTTGTTTCAGTATGAAATATTCTGACTGTGATCAAACACTTCTCGCCCTTTGAAGACATGAAGACATCTAAATGACCTTCACCTCTTTTCTCCGCACAGAGACATAATGTTTGGAGAGCCAAAACTTTGTTTCCAACTCCTTGCGTTTATGAATTGGATGGTGTGTATGAATGATCTGGGGCTCAGGAGGTAGAGCAGATCAGAAGGTTGGTGTTTGGATCCCTGGCTGCTCAGGTCTGCAGGCCAAATACCCTTGGGAAAGATACTAACCCCAAATTGCTCTCTAATGCATCTATTGGAGTGTGAATGTTAAACACAAAACATTCAGTAGAGGGAAAAAGTGTTTGAATGAGGCATGTTAGGTAGAGAAGCAAAGCCTGACATAGCAACCAATCCATTTACTATTTTGTATGAAACTGCCTCATCCTGAACATGAAATAAACAAAATAACATATGCTGGGTCCCTCAATGTCTGACATCTGACTTTGTCAACAAAGTTTTCACCCTTTCCATCTCTGCTCCAGCTCACTGTCTCTCTGTAGTGGCATCAGTCTCCATGGCTCACCCTAAGCCTCATGGTTGTCTCTCTTCCTTCTATATCCCATCCACCCCCTCTCCCCTCCTGTCCCTGCCATCATCTAATGCCGACCTCTTTTCACCAGCTAATACCACTTCACCCTTTTTTACCCTCCTCCTCTTCCCTCCCCAGGGACTCACATTCAATTGTGCTATCTACCCACAGCAGGTCTGTCAAAACCCCCACCACTGAGCAAGGCAAATCAGTCTGGAGTGTGGAATCGGGAGGTTGAGGCTGAGCACAGCGAGGAAGAAAGACGGCGATGGATAGAAAAAGCCAGATGGAAAAAAGCAAAGGTGGATGGAAAGGGTAAAATGTTACGGAGTAGAAAGTAAGAAGAAGAAATGCAGGGAAAAGAGGGAGAAGTAGCAAATGATTATTCATTCAAGTCAGCTCGGTTCCTCCACATTTATCCCTCCTCTCCTCCTTTCCCATGGCTCTCTCTCTGGCCTGGTTTGGATTAATATAAGCTGTCTATTGTAAGTCTCTCTCTCTGAACCACCAAATCAGTTCCTCTCAGTCCATCATTTACAACATGTGGCCTGCTTTCAACAGTGGCAGCAGCAAAGATCAAAAGGCATGAACGCTGTTACTTGTACTGAGTGTCACTGATGTACAACAGCACTCTTCATGCACTGCTCCCACTCCACTGTGACGAACTACACTTGTCTCCAGGAAAAACGTAACTGATCTGAAGAAGGATGAGGAGTTGAGTTCCCTTTCCTTGGTGTCGTCTGTGTGCCCACCCTACCATCCCCTGTATGTAGTTGGTCCCAGTGTTGGGGAGTAACCATCATCACAAAATATAACAGTGTGCATTCCTGGCACCGTGTTGCCATTTGCTTTTATCTACTAAAATACGCCGTCGAACCTAAAATGAGGATTTGGCCCAGCTATTGGAAAATGATGTGTGTTACTACTTAATGGATTTATAGGTTTCTGGCACCATTTTGGAGGCATACAGTGAAGCTGAGATGGGTTAGAAGAATTACAAAAAGATCCAGTGACAGCATGGCTGCTGTGAGCCATGCATGGGTAGACGAAGATGGCAGAGAGGGAGTCGGTCAAATTCCTTTACCCCTGCCTTTTGTTCCTGAAGACAACACTGTAGTGTGAAATCCAAATTGTTTTATCATTTCAGCAGAGAGATGTTTCATCTCTCTTAATCGAGACACAGCAGTCTGTGCCTGCATGCACAAATGAAATTCATAAAGCCAGAGGGAAGTTATAAAATAAAGTAAACAGGAAGTTTCAGAACTTAAAAATGAGTGATGATTCCCTGCAAAGAAAAATTTGTTCTGTGGTGATGCATCCTATTACTTTGATCAAAGGTACAGTAGCTGGTAGGCATGTTCATGCTGTGTGCAAGTCAGAGGAATCTGAAGATTTATGGCTGTGCAATGTTTTCACAGTTAAAATCTTCAGTGTGGCGTTGACTGTTTGTGTGCGTTAGACTGGACACACTGCACGTATTGGCCTGGACATTTGCAGTGGGAAACTTAAATTGTCAGCCCTCTCTAATGTCCCTGAATGCCCACTAGAACACTGTATTTTCTTTAACAGCTGTTGTGGTCACACCTGAAACTGGACACACTGTGCTACTGTACATGAGAAGAAGTAAAAAACAGAGAAGAGCCTGATTTGGGGCGGCTGAGGCACAGGTGGTAAAGCAGCCAGTGTACCAAAAGGAGGGCTCTCCTCATGTCGAGACATCTTTGAGCAGGACGTGCGTGTGATTTGGTGAATGAGAGTAGAAAGCACTTTGAATCCTCACCAAGTATAAAGGTGATAAATAAGGAAATAGATTTAACTAACAGGGTATAAACACTTGTTTTGTTCAGAAGGTGTTGCACTGTAAGAGCTGCAGTTCATGATTAAATTCAAGTGTACAAAATCTCATAAGGGGACTCCTTGATAGCAAGTTGATGGATGCATAAAAACTTTAGCTACTGATGTTGTAATCTTCCAACTTTAACTTTTAAAATCCATAGTATTTTATCCACAGTAGCGTTCTCCTTCATCGTCTCTAATGTGCTCATGTGTTCACTAAGAAAGCCTGTTTAAAGAAGCAACTTGTTAGACATTAAAAGTACCTATTAGGTCCTTTTTGTCAGGGGGTCGCACTAACTTTCATGCAGTACAGTAAGCAAACAGCTGCACATTAAACAACCAAAGAGAAAGATGTGTTGAAGTTCACAAATGTTATTAAACATGACAGATTATTACAAATAAACCTGGATCATTATTCAGATGCTCACACTGAGCCCACATATGCTCTCTCTGCACACTCTGGCTTCCTTTCACAGTCCAAAGACACACATGTTAGCTTAGCTGATGACTCTAAACTGACTGTGTGTGAACGCGAGCATGAATAGTTGTGTGATTCTGTGTTAGCACTGCAACAGACTGGTGGCCCATGCAGGGTATGCAACACCTCTCACCCTGTGACAGCTGGGGCTGGCTACAGCCCACCTACGACCCTGAATTAGCAGGGACAACAACATGATCAACTACTGGTTAATTTACCTGCTCTTATTTTGAAAGTCCCTCCACAATTAGTAAACACTGGCTCCTCCTGTCTCCTGTTTTCCTGCTAGGAAGCTCTTTGGGCCACTGTTGTCAGACTCATTTCCACCATCTTTGACTGCAGTTGGTGATGGTGCTGCTGTATCTGCTCTGATCTGGAGGATCACTCGAACAAGAACCTGAACCTGGTTGAGAAGTAAGTAAGAACTCTTGTCACATGCAATAGCACCCTGCTGAATCAGAAGCTGGTTTACCTTTTAGGACATCGGAGGCTGTTATGTGGCTCTTGGATGCTATTTTATACATATTTGCATCGAGTTATTTGTGGTTTAACTCATTGTTACTTTTTAAAATTAAGAACCATCTAGTGAAAAACTGTGTTTAACGTACTAACCTCCAAGCTGGAGCTTCCCATCATATGTTTGTGAAAGCATCTTATTTAACCCAAAGCCTCACCGAGACGTTTTGTTGCCTAAGCAACATTGTTGCCTAGCAGATTGCCCAGAAACCCAGCAGAAGCCGGTTCACCAAACCACCAAATTTTGAATGTATCATTTTTGATTGTGGTCAAAAGTCTTTGAACAAGGAGTAACAATGTAAAACATTCTGCTACATTCCAAATCTTATTTAAATAAAAAAGTATCTAATATACTTAAAGATGAAGAATGGCCCTATTTTATAATCATACCTCCTATTTTAGTTAGATGATTATTGATTAAACAATGTGTTCATCATCTTAATGTTGATGTTCAAAGCAATTTCCCCAAAAAGCCCACAGAGCACAAATTTCCACCAAGGCAGCTCCCTCTCTGTGAGGTATTTCCTTTTATGGGTATATTATTAGTAGTAGTAGTATGTCATTATTTTCTATATAATATTTTTGTTTTATTTGTTTTTTTACTTTGAGAAGTTTTTAATGCAGTAAAAGCAAGTGTAGGCTAGACATAAGTTGTTTTTTATTCATGTGGCCAGTGCATTCATTTCAATGGTTAGTAAATTCATTTCAATATTTAGGAAGAAATATCAAGTGAAAAAAGTTGTTTTAAAAAAAATATTATTCAGGAATGTGACAAAGTGGCTAGGACACAATTCATTTGCCATTTGTCACTTGCGTAACTTGTTATTCTGTGTTCTGTTATCCTATAGTCTATCATAATGCTTTAATGTAAACACAGCACATGTAACCTTGGCTCTACATACTATCCCGGGTCTGTTTGTGGTAGCATTGGTTATATTTATGTCATCTGTGCAAATGTACTTAAAGCTAAATGTCACTTCATCATTAATTGATTTGAATCTTTCATTTGTTTATGTAGTTTGGTTATACTTACCATTGCGTGTTCCTTTGGACAGGTCCTATGTGTAAAACAGGTATGTGGGAAGAGCCGCCCCAGTACTTCCTGAGTTTATAGGATATGATGTCACTGATCATGTCAATTGGGTGTAACCAAATGAAGGGGTGTTTCTTTTGTGTAAAATTGTTTATTTCATTTAAAATAACCTCATGAGTCAGATTAGGTGAAGAGATTGACTTTTCAAATTGTTTAGTTGGGTGAATGAGTTTGTTAAGTGGGAAAATGATTTTATTCCTGTTTCTTTGTCTAGACTGTGTTATTTAGTCTACCCTGTTTTCCCAATGGTAGAGGTTAATGAGATCCAGGTGTGAGTGGAATTCTATATAAAGCAGGTGAGATTTTGACTCATGGCTTCTTATGTTTTGTGAGATAATTGTTGAAGGGCAACGCCAGAAAATAAAGAACACTTAAAAGAAACTTGAACGGTCTGCAGATGCTGTCTTCCTATCACCTTTCATGCTGCTTAGGTTATGCTACTTCACAAATGGTGGCAGCAGTGGGATTCAGGCCAATAGGTGATAACAATGCAGAAATCAACCAAGTCAAGGAAACCTCAAGGGCCAACAGATTTTCCCCCAGAGGAGGCCCAAGATGATGGCAACCTGCCAGAAGCTACGGGTGAGCACAGCACGGAAGCACAAAGTCTCTCAGAGCTCTCAACTTTATTAAAAGGCCTGATGCAACAGCATGCTGACCGTGAGGCAAAATGGGAGCAGGACAGACAACGCCAGGATGAACGGTGGCATAGAATGCAACACCAGTTCAGCCAACTGCAGCAGGAGTTCCAGTCGGAGCGCCGGGAGCATCAGATGCTGTGGGAAGGTGCAGTAGCTGATTCCGGAGTGCCTCTGAGTTCCTCAGTGCGGAAAAAGGTGCAGCAACCTGTTCAACAGCGAGGAAAACCCCCTGAATCTTCCGCACCACCACAGTCATCCAATCTGGGCAGAGTAAGCGGTTGGAAAGGCCCGAAGATGCAGCCCTATGGTGAGGATGAAGATATTGAACATTATTTAACCACTTTTGAGAGGATTGCAACAGGATGTCAGTGGCCACAAGAAGAATGGGCACTGCATCTGGCTCCACTTCTTAGTGGTAAAGCACGTGCGGCATATGTTGCTATGGACACTGAAGAGACAATGGACTATGATAAGGTAAAAACCGCCGTTCTTGAAAAATTTGAAATAAGTGCTGAGACTTACCGAACCAGATTCCGCAACATGACGGTGAAGGACGATGAGACACCCAAAGAGCTGCGAACTCGCCTTAAAGACCTATATGAAAAGTGGATGCTTCCAAAGGAGAAGACGAAGGACCAAATAGGAGATGTCATAGTGATGGAACAGTTTCTCAGAGTTCTTAACCCAGAGCTGAGGACCTGGGTGAAAGAGCGCAACCCCACCACTTCAAAAGAAGCTGCAGAGATGGCAGAGGCTTTTCTTGCAGCCCGACGCCCACAAAAAGGGTATATGTTAGGAAAACCCAGTTCAGCCAATGTTTTTGTGGGTAGGTCAGGGGGTGGGAATGGGTACAAAGCTAAAAGCCCTAAACAAAGTTCCCCAATCACTAGCAGTAGCCGCGCTAGAGAAGTAAAGCAGAGAGGCCCGTTGGTGTGTCATGCCTGTGGTCAAGCAGGTCACTTTAAGGCAGATTGCCCAGGTCAGCAAGTCAGTAAGACTTACATGTGTCTTTCACCACAGTGTTTTGACTTGCTAGAGGAAGAAACAGAGTCTCTAGCACCCTCCAGTGATCAGGAGCACACCATCTGTGTTTTCATTGAGGGAAAACCTTGTGTTGCCCTCTTGGATTCAGGCAGTAGCCGCACACTTGTCAGGCAAGATTGTCTCCCTAGCGACACCACATTTTGTGGTAAAGTTAAAGTCTGGTGTGTTCATGGTGATAATGTTGATTATCCTATTGCCAATGTTTGCCTTCAAGTTAATGAAAAAGAGTACGTACTTACAGTTGGAGTAATGGATAAACTTCCCTACCAGATTGTGTTGGGCCGGGACATGCCAATTCTTGGGGAGTTATTAGCAAAGACAGAGAAAGACAGAGAAGAGAAGAATCTGCATGTTGCATGTGAAGGTCTGCTAGTAGTCACTAGGTCTGGTAATAAAGCTTGTCAGTCAGAGCCAGGTTTGAGTGAGTTGCCCTATGCAGACAGTGAAATTCCAGATATTGACAGACTAAGTAGGCCGCATATAAAGAAAAGTAAAATGCAGAGAAGACAGGAAAAAGTGAGGGGGACAGAAATTGCTGAGTCACTTCCTGAACCAGAGATCGATGAGCTCCTGGTTGTCCCGAGCAATATGCCTGACTAGGCCGCATATAAAGAAAAGTAAAATGCAGAGAAGACAGGAAAAAGTGAGGGGGACAGAAATTGCTGAGTCACTTCCTGAACCAGAGATTGATGAGCTCCTGGTTGTCCCGAGCAATATTGTCCAACTCCAAAGGGAGGACCCCTCTTTAGCACCCCTGTTTGCTAAGAGCACCCAAGAATCAGCACAGATTACAGACAAAGTACGGGAAGTATTCATTGTTAAGAATGAACGACTATATCGTCGTAGCAAAGTTGGTGACCAGTTGGTTGTTCCCAAAAGCTTAAGGCCTGTAGTCTTGCAGTTGGCTCATTCAGTTCCTTGGGCAGGCCACTTAGGACATCTTAAAACCTTTTCCAGAATGGTAACTCGTTTTTTTTGGCCACAGCAATTTTCAGACACTGCCCAGTTTTGCAAATCATGTCCACAGTGTCAGTTGACAGCCCCAAGTAGGAAAGGAGACAGAGCCCCACTCATTCCTATGCCTGTGATAGACGTTCCCTTTTCTCGTGTTGCCATGGATATTGTCGGCCCATTGGAAAGAAGTAGTGCAGGGCATAGGTACATTCTAGTGATCTGTGATTATGCAACAAGGTATCCAGAAGCTTTCCCATTGAGAAGGGTCAAAGCCCGCCAAATAGCTAATTGTCTGATACAGATGTTCTCAAGGGTGGGCATTCCCAAAGAAATCTTGACAGACCAAGGCTCAAACTTCACTTCCAACCTGTTGAAGGAAGTTTACAAACTTCTGGGAATTACCGGAATCAAAACGAGCCCTTATCATCCACAAACTGATGGACTTGTTGAGAGGTTTAATAAAACCCTGAAATCAATGCTGAGGAGGTTCGTAAGAGAATCAGGAAAAGACTGGGACCAATGGCTTCCATTTTTGCTTTTCGCCTATAGAGAGGTACCACAAGCATCAACTGGATTTTCTCCATTTCAGCTCTTGTATGGCCATAATGTCAGAGGTCCACTGGATGTACTTAAGGAGGCTTGGGAGGAAGCTAGCCCTGAAAAACAGTGCTCCTCCCTCTCTTATGTGTTGAAAATGAGGGACAAGCTTGAACAGTTTCAGGAACTGGCTCATTGTCACCTAGTAAGTGCCCAGCGACGTCAAAAACAGAACTATGATAAGACAGCTCGCAGGAGGGCCTTTAAAGAAGGACAAAAAGTGTTGCTCCTTTTGCCAACCACTGAAAGCAGTCTCTTAGCCAAATGGCAGGGGCCATTTGTGATAAACAGGAAAGCAGGTCCTGTCACTTATGAGCTCAACATGCCAGGTCGTCGGAAGAAGCAACAGGTGTTTCATGTCAACATGTTGAGGGAGTGGATTGAGAAGCCAGAGCAATCACTTCAGTTGTGGGCTCGTGTTGTACTGCAGGAAGAAGAGCCTCAAGAGCAATTCTTTCCCACCTGTACTGAAGAAAAGCTATTTCCAGATTTGAGCTATCTATCACCAGAACAGCAGGAGGAGCTCACGGCC